GCTCGGAGGCGTGAAGCACCGCACAGAGCCACGTGTGCCCTTGCTGCTGTCGGTATGTGCCGGGCGGCGGGGAGACAACTTCATACTGCGGTGTCTGGTCATCCAGGACGACGGTGTCTCTGCTTATTCCAGACACGTGGCTGTCTCCGTGTACTTGTATCTAAGGGAGTAAATGGTGGTCCGCAGGCCTCCGCAGGCCTTGCCATGATTTTGAGGGAAAGGATAGAGATATGGAGAAGACAGGGGTGAGCTGCAACACGGGTGGGTTGTACTAGACCCTGACGTCCACCCTTAGTGGCTCAAGGCCAGCGCGCAGATCCGGCCTGCCTGCGCCGGGCAGGCGTCGGACACGGTGCCACGCGGGAGCCGCGAGCTCAGTGCAGAGGCTGGGCACTCGCCAAGGAGCGAGGTGCTAAGGAGACGCTCACGGCGAGAGAAGGACAGGGGTGCTGAGAGGAGCGGTGCGGGCTGGGGGTGACCCGAGGACTTCCCCGAGGGCTGCTCTTGGGACGCAGCGTGTCTACAGCAGTCACGCAGGGCCGGCACGCAGGCAGAGGCGCGGTGATGAAATGAGCCGTGACGCCAGGCCGGGAGGCACCGTGACTGCAGAGCGCAGGGGAGCACCACGCCGGACTGGGAAGGCGCTGAGGCCCAGAGTCCTGGGCATGCCACGAAATCACCTGGTCACGGCTTTGGGGGTTAAGGACGAGAACTGCTGCATCTGCAGCTGGGAGCCCTTCAGCGGGACAGGCCTGAGCAGGGGAAAGCCCTGGGGCAGCCGCAGAGCAGCCGGGGACCCGGATCCCTACAAATCCTGGGCTGCTACGCAGAGAGCAGCGGGTCGACAGCGCAGGGCTCCCCTGCCCCTGCCCCAGTGGAGGAAGGGGGGTGCAGCCACCAACACCCTGCTGCTGCAAAGGGGGGTCATAGATGCTCTCGAGACCCCAGGCAGGGCCGTGCCCCCGCTGCAGAGGAAGGGAAAACCCCCCCAGTCTGCACCCATCTGAGCAGGGGATAAATCCCTTTCTGCCCCCAGTGCAGTGCCGGTCTGAGCCTGAGCGCAGGGGCAAGACCCTCCAGTCAGGACCCTGCGGGTTGGTCCCACAGCAGCATTGGCGCAGCCCCGTTCCCATCGCGGCCTGGGCTGCAGCCGGTCCCCAGCACCTCTGAAAGAGGTGACAACTCCCTGACACGGAGCAGGAGTGGTGGAAGGGGGCCCCCAGCACAGCCTGCAGCCCGGGGAGTCCCCACAGCAGTGCACGGCATCGCAATGCCGAGTTCAACCCTGGCCGGTGGCTGCGCAGCCTCTCCTTGACGCCTCCGGTAATGGAGAGTCCCCCCGTCCCTGGACGCCTGCCCCACTGCCCAGGGCAGTGGTGGACGTGGCGGTGGCCGGCAGGAATCTCCAGAGCTAGGATGCACTGGAGGGTCAGTCGGCCTCAAAGGCAAACCCAAACTTGTACCAAACCCGGAGGAGGCCTGACACGGAGCAGCTCACGCCAGCTCCACCGAGGCAGCAGGTGCTGGATCTGACACCGGGCCATCCTGGGGCCCCATTTGCTGCCCTCGTCCTCTGGCCATGCAGGTGCCACAGCTGAGCCCCTGCCCCCTGCACATTTCTGTCCATCCTTCAGCCCTTGCATCCTCTGCTGCTTCCAGGAGCCGTGGCTGCACTGTCCAGGCCGGGCTGCCCGCGTCTCCTGCTCAGCCCTGAGAAGAGCTCATCTAGCTCTGGAGACCCGCTGGGCAGGGCAGGGCTGTCTCCCGGGCACCTGCGTGGCTCCGTGGCCTGGCCACATGCTGCCGTCCAGCCAGGCAGGGCCGTGGGGCCAGATTCTGGGATGCGGTGTGAGCCCAGGGACTTTGCTGGCGTGTGTCCTCTGTGCCCTGTATCCTGCTCTTTGCAGCGCGGGGCCAGAGCATCCCTCTTCGCAGCATCTCCCGGCGGCTGCAGACACGCTGGCCCGTGGCAGGCGTCACCAAGGGGAGGGCCGCCCTCGTGCCCTGGGTTGCCGGCAGCTGCAAGGCCACAGCGTTGCAGGGCAGGGAGGGCTGGGCCTGGTGACAGCTGTGCGGTGGCTTTGGTCCCACGCTCTGCCACGGGGCTGGGGCACCCTTCCTGCCAGCCCAGGGGTGGATGCACAGCTGCCATGATTGCAGCCTTTGGCCCTTCTCCAGGCTTGGATGTGCCGGTCACTCGGAGACCCGCTGCCCTGACATCTAATCCGTGGATGTTCTCAGGGACCGGAGCCAGCTCGGCGCCCCCGGCAGACTCGGAGAGAGCCTGTGCCCGGGCCCCGGCGCGAGGGGCTGCCCTGCACCTGCGGGTGCCGGCTCCGTGACCTCCCAGCCGCGTCCCGGGCCCCTTGGGGCTTCCAACTGGAGCCCTGCCCGGAGGGCATGAATCAGCTTTTCGCAGCTTGTTAAAGTCCTGATCCTGCCTCTTGTTTTCGTGCCTTTCAAATCAGGAAATAAGTTTTACAACCTTCCAGTGGGGCACAGCTGGTGGCCAGGGTCGTAAAGCTGAACTTTATAAATATCTCCCATGGGGACGGGGAAGAGCATTAAAAGGGAGAGCGAAGGACAGAGCAGGAGACAGAAGTGGGACTTCGCCAGGGCCAGGAAGAACCCATCTGAGCTGCAGCCATGGCCGGGCAAGGGCTGAAGGCCGGGCAGGTCTGGGGCAGGCTCTGCCTGGTGCTGTCTCTGCTCTTCCAGCTCCAGGGCTCCCAGGCCAAGTGCTACTTCCAGGCGAAAGGTAAGGGGGTCGGAGTAGAGGTGGAGATGTGGGGCACGGGGAGAGGCCTCCCCTTCCCCTGGCAGCGGGTGCTGTGCTCTGCAATTAAGGGATGTCATTGCAACCCGGTGGGCTGACAAGGGAGAGCGGCGGTCCATGAACCACCACCACCTGCCTGGGAAACCGCTATGGAGCTCCCAGCCTCCCTGGGCAGGGCAGGGCAGGGCAGGACGAGGCTCTGGTGCTCTTGGCATGGTCCTGGCTGCTGGGCACAGCCTGGGGCTGTCGGTGCCAGCACCCGCACCTGTCCCTGCACCAGGCCCGGGGCTCCTTCAGCAACAGCTGCCGCATGCTCCTACCTGTCACGGGGCCTGGGCCAGGGCTGGGGCCGCACCCGGGCCACTGGGGTGTTCCTGGGCCACTGCCTCATCACTGCCTTTCCCCTCCCAGCCACCTGCCAGTACGAGGGGAAGCAGTTCAGCTTGGGGGAGTCGTGGCTCAGCACCAACTGCCTGCTCTGCACCTGCCTGCACCCCGTCGGCGTGGGCTGCTGCGAGATGTGAGTGGGTCGGGGGGCTGGTCCTCAGGACGCAGTAACAGGGCAAGAGGAGCACCTGGGTGCGGGGCCTGCAGATGTGCCGCCAATGCAGGATGAGCAGCTGGTACCAGATGGGCTGGGCTGGGCTGGGCTGCGCGGCAGCTGTGGGGCTGCCCCACGGGCTGTGGGGGTGACGGAGGGGTGCGTGGGGATGATGAAGGGGTGTGTGGGGTGAGGAAGCAGCTTCAGGTAACTCACTGGTCAGCCTGGCCTGGGAGCCCGTGCCCCCACAGCGCGGGGTGACGGCCCATCCCTTCTCTCCCTGCAGCACCCAGCACCCCATTGACTTCCCCGACTGGTGCGAGGCCCACTATGATGCCCAGACCTGCCAGATCTCCGTGGTGCAGAAAGCCAACCCCGGCCTGCCCTGCGTCAACAGCCTGGAGCGCGAGTGGGGCTCGGCCGGCACCCCTGAACCTGCGCTCAACAAGGTGCTGGAGACGGGGCTGAGCCGGTAGAGGCCCGGCAGCCCCGCGCCGCCGGCGCACCCACTGCATGTGCCAGACCTGCACCACCGCCACGTAGACCCTCCACTGCAGCCACCTTCCAGGGAAACCACTATCCGGGTCTGCACCCACGGCCTAGCGCTGCCTTGGCATGGCTTTGCTTCTGCTTCAGCTTCCCTATCCCACCAGGCCCCTCCTGCCCACAGCACAGCTCCCTCTCCAAGAAGAGCAGCCCCAGCTCTGAGCGGGGGGCTCCGGGCACCCCACTGCTCCTACCCATGCGCAGAAGCCCCTGTCTGGGGGAAGCCACGTGGAGGCTGGGCCAGGAGAGTGGGGGCTCTTGCCTGACCAGAGACGGGCACAGCAAGGGCAGTATGCCTCACAAAGCAGGGGAGGGGATGATGGCACCATGCTAGTGTCCAGGTGGGAGTGGACAGGCAGCCCCCAGCCCGGCTCGGTGGGAGCAGCTTTTGGGTATAGGGGAAGGAGATCAATTCTTTCCAGCTTGATCTACGGCTCCAAATGTGCATGGCCCCCAGGCAGCCTCCTGCCCCTGCGCCCGGGGCTCCTGCCTCCAGACCCCTTGCCTGCCCCACTGGCAGGGCACACCCCACCAGCGAGACCTGCAGCACGTCCTGGGGCCACCCTGCACTGCGCTGCGCTGCCCAGAGGCTCCTTCCACCCTCAGAACCACTACAGCCCCTGCCTCTGCCCCCCAGGGGAGGAGCACCTGGGCCCCGGGGGGGAGCCAAGCCAGGAGGCGGCCACGTGCTGGGTGCCCTGGGGCAACTGCAGCCGCAGGCCAGGCCTTCCGTGGGGTGTCCCTGCCTAGTGCCGTGAGAGGGGGCCACAGTGCCCTGCTGGGCTGAAGCGACCGAGGCGCTGGTGCGGAGCGGGCTGTGCGGCACCCCGCCCGGCCGGCGCAGAGCCTGTGTAGATGTTCTGTTCTCGCAATAAACGTATCACAGTCCACCTGGGCTCTGCCTGTGCGCCCGGGGATGTGCATGGGGGAGACAACAGGACACCAGCCGAGTCCTCCACACCCCGCTGCCCCCACGCTCCGGGCTCTGAAAGGCCCGTGGGACAGCAAGGAGGCGCCTGCACGCAGGCCCAGCGCAGAGCAGGGGCACAGGGCAGGGGCTTGGGGCACAGTGAGGGCTGTTCGGGGGCCCCCCGGTGCAAAGCCCTGGGCAGGATCGGGGCTGCTACAGGCTGTGGGTCAGGCACTCAGCTGTTTATTGATTCACACACAAACAGACTTGGGAAGGGCTTGTGGGGGAAGGGGCCGGGGGCCGAGCTGGGAAGGGCCTGGCCCATGTGGTCCTGCTTGGTGTCAGCTCTGTGTGGGCAGTGCCAGGGCCTTGGGCAGCCCAGAGGGACTGGACCTGCCCTCCAGCCCAGGGGATACGAGGTCCAGCACAGGCTTCTCTGGCCTGGCCCTGGTGGGAAACGGGAGCCCGCTGTTCCCTAGCCAGGGCCACAGCCCTAGAGAGCACAAGCCCATCACTGTGCTGCGCCGAGGGCTAAGGCGCTGCCCCCCAGCAGGTCACAGGCAGAGTGGGTGGACCTGGACCTGGACCTGGAGCAGGCCAAGCTCGCAGCTCAGAGCAGACTGCATGGGGCTGGCAAGGCAGCCAGTGCACAAGCCCGGTGACAGGCAGTGGCTAAAAGAGCCCAGCTCTCTTCCTTTTCCTGCTCTGGGGCAGGGGCGCAATGTTGGGAGGGGTCGGGGCAGCTCACCGATTCGCCCAGCTCTCTCCAGCAAAGCCCACGTGCGGGTGAAAGGAGCAGGAGATGGGTCACCAACCCAAGAGCTCACAGCTCAGGGAAGCCCAGCCAGGCATGGGCCGGCTGCTGGGGACAAGCCGCAGAGGCGGCACGCAGTCTGCACATCAGCGCTAGTCCCTCCCCTCCTCGCACAGGGGCAATGAGAGTCCTGCAGGACACGGGGGAGGATGCGCAGGGCCCAGGCCAAGCCTCCCATCAGATGGTGGTGGAGTTGGTGCTGGAGAAGGGGGACACATAGGAGGCCAGGACAGGGTTAGTGGGCAGAACCTTGATGGGCAGGTCCCAGCTGAAGGTGTCCACGTCGATCTGCTCCACGCCGCTCCAGGTGACCGTCTCTGACTGGTTCTCATGCACCAGGTGAGTCTCCACCGGCTCCCGCGATGTCACAAACTCAAAGTGCAGCCTCCACTTCAGAGACACTGGGCAGAGTGGGGAGAGGGCTCAGAGGCTGCCAGCACAAGGGCACTGGGCAGCAGCTATGGGAGCACTGGGTTAGGGCGGCAGCACCCGGCCGCAAGAGCCCAGCCACAGCTCTGGGATGGCATTGCGCCTGCCCACCCAGTGGCTCCCTCCCGATGGCCGGCCCCGGCGGGCACTCACCGATGTTGGTGATGAACCCTGGCGTGGAGCCCAGCGGGATGGGCAGGCTGAAGCTGCTGCGCGACGTGTGCAGGCAGGACTCCTGGTGACGGGCGTGAGTGCTGAAGGAGACGGGCTGCCCGCGCCGGCGCTGGAACTCCTCCTGGATGCTCTCCTCTGTCTGCAGACTCACCGAGTACTGCGGGCCATGGCGCACATGTGAGGGGTCAAGGGTGATGCTGAGCTGGGTGGCCCCTCCGCCAGTAGGGTAAAGGGATGTGATCCCCTGTGGTGACACCCCTCACCCCACCCCTGACCAAACCCAGAGGGAAGCCTGAGGAGGGCCCCTCCACTGAATGGGAAGCCCATGGATATCTGTGCTCCCCCACATGCACCCATGGGCCAGCTAAGGGGTGTTTGCATTCCTGGCCTTGGTCACGGAGATGGTGGGGCTGGGAGCAGGGGCTGCACTGACCTGCAGGCAGGGGATGTCCCCTTCCGAGAAGTTGAATGTCCCGATGACGTCTTCCCCGATCTTATAGACTGTCTTGAAGATGCAGAACTTCCCCACCTTCCCACGGGTGTTGCTGATGTTATACAGGTCTGCGGAGAGAGGGAATGGCTCAGTAAGCTCAGGCTGCAGCCATGAGATGGTTCCTCCCTTCTTAGAGAGAGCCCAGGGCGCTGGGGCAGCACAGCAGACTAGTGGCAGGCAGCTGTACCGAGCTGCCCATCCCTTCCCCAGTACCGAGTTTTCACAGAACCACAGACAATGAGGGCTGGCACGGACCTCACAGGAGTCATCCAGTCCACTCCCCTGTTCCAAGCAGCACCATCCCCAACTACATCATCCCAGCCAAGGCTTCATCCTAAAAACCTCCAAGGAGGAAATTCCCCCACCTCTCTAGGGAGCCTGTTCCAATGCTTTACCACCTTCCTCGTGAGTTTTTCCTAATATCTAACCTCAACCTTCCTTGCTGCAGCTTGAGCCCATCGCTCCTTCTGTCATCTGAGAACAGTCCAGCTCCATCCTCTTTGCAACCCCCCTGCAGGGAGCTGAAGGCTGCTATCAAATCCCCCCCTTAATCTTCTCTTTTGCAGACTAAATCAGCCCAGTTCCCTCAGCTTCTCCTCACCAGTCATGTCCCCCAGCCCCACAACCATTTTTGTTGCCCTTTGCTGGACTCTCTCCAGTGTCCACATCCTTTCTGTAGTGAGGGGCCCACAGCTGGACACAGGACTCCAGATGTGTCCTCCCCAGTACTGAATAGTGGGGGAGAATCACTGCCCTTGATCTGCTGCAACGCTCCTACCGATGCAGCCCAGGATGCCGGTAGCCTTCTTAGCACCAAGGGCACACTGCTGGCTCCCGTTCAGCTTCTTGTCCACTCTAACTCACAGGTCTTTTTCTGCAGAACAGAGCTCCCAGCATAGGATTTTTCCCTCCTAAGTGCAGGAGTTTGCACTTCTCCTTATTGAACCTCATGACATTTCTTTTGGCCCAATCCTCCAATTTATCAAGGTCTCGCTGAATCCTAGCCCTACCCTCCAGTGCATCTACTCCCTGCTGCTTGGTGTCATCTGCAAACTCGCTGAGGGCATGCGCTCCATCCCCTCTTCCAGCTACCCACCCACTGGGACTCCTTAGTGGCTTTCCAAGGGGAGAGGACGGTGTGGGTATTGGATCTAGCAAAAAATACGCTGCCACCTGCTGCAACGTACTTTGCGTGTCAGCTGGAGCCGGGGACTGGCTGGCTGAAGGAGGACAAGTCTGGGGGTGGTTGGCTGGAGAGAGCAGGGTGCTCCCAGCTGCTCATGCCCTTGACTGGGTGGGGCAGCTTCCCCCGGCTGCTGCAAACCCCAGGGCTCCTGTACCGGTGGGTAGGCAGGACTGCCAGAGCAGTCTGGTGGCCAGGATGGGGCAGGAGACACGAGCAGGGAACAACCTACGCAGGCTACGCCGAGAGGTGGCTGCCATCAGCAGCTCTGTGGCCAGGTCTGCCAGCCGAGGGTCCTTCTTCATCCCCTCCTCCTCCTCCAAGAAGGGGTTCGAGGGGGCGACAGCTTCATCCTGGGGGAACTGGTAATCCTTGAGCCCTGGGGGAGGGAGGGAAGGAGGAAGAGTCAGTGCCACGGCGGTGGGTGGCTGCGGGGAGGATGCCGCCTGCAGCAGGCCCTACCGTGCAGCACCAGGACCCGGAAGGGCACACGCAGCAGCTTGATGGGGGAGTTGACGCGCTGGCAGCCGACCGTCAGCTTGTACGCGTACTTCACTGACTGCCCCCGGAAGGAAGGCGGCCCGTCCACCGGCAGCACCTCGCAGTAGGAGTCTGCAACGAGAGGGGCGGGCTCACCTCAGCTGGGCCAGCGAGGCTGCAGCTGGGCTGAGCAGCGGGTCCCTGGAGCAGAGGATCCCAAGGGGGGAGCAGCGTCAAAGACTGGCTAGGGGCAGGGCTGATCTTCCCTGGTGCTCTTGTCAAAGGCCAACCCAGCTCGCTGTCAGCACTGTAGCACTCCTGGTCCACCCAGAGATGGATCACACAGAAGCACTGCCCTCCCCAGGCTTCCCTGATGATCTTCATCCAAGGGTACTTAGTGAATTAGCTGGAGTCATAGCAGAGCCACTGGCACGACTGTTTGAGCGCTCATGGCGCTCAGGACGTGTCTCGGAGGACTGGAAAAGGGCCAATGTGGTCCCTATTTCCAAGAAGGGGAGGAAGGAGGAACCAGGTAACTATAGCCCGGTTAGTCTCACCTCTATCTTTGGCAAGACCTTTGAGAAAATTGTTAAGGATCACATTTGTGGGGGACCAGCGGGTAAAATAATGCTAAGGGGCAACCGGCATGGGATCACAGCAGGCAGATCCTGCCTGACTAGCCTGGTTTCTTTTTACGACCGGGTCACAAAATGCTTGGATGAAGAAATAGAGGTAAATGTTATTTACTTAGATTTTTAAAAGGCCTTTGACACAGTGTCGCACCCAATTCTTACAAATAAACTAAACAGTTGCAATGTAGATTATTACACAGTCCAGCGGGTGGAAATTTGGCTTATGGGACGCACCCAGAGAGTGGTGGTGGCCGGGGCAGTTTCTACCTGGAGAAATGTGGGCAGCCGAGCCCCCCAAGGCTCTGTGCTGGGACCCGTGCTGTTCAATATCTTCATTAGTGACTTAAGAGAGGGAGTAGAAGGCACCCTGTCCAAGTTTGCCGATGACACCAAACTATGGGGGAGGTAGACAAACTAGAGGGCAGGGAGTGAATCCAGGCAGATTTGGACAGGCTGGGGAAATGGGCTGAACAAAATAGGATGCAGGTTAACAAGGACAAGTGCCATGTGTTGCACCTGGGGAGGAAGGATCATCGACACACCTACAGCCTGGGAGGCACCACTCCGAGGAGCACGACTGTGGAAAGGGGTCTCAGAGTCGTAGTCGACTCCAAAATAAGTTGAGTCACCGGTGTGGTGAAGTAATAAGTAAAGGTACCCGCCCCCTTTCTTGCACAAGCAGGTGCATCACAAACAGGTCCAGGGAGGTGATGCTTCCCCTCTATGCGACACTGGTCAGGCCGCAGATGGAGCACTGCACCCCGTTTTGGGCGCCGCACTTCAGGAGGGATGTAGATAACCTGGAGAGGGTTCAGAGGAGGGCCACACGTCTGGTTAAAGGCCTACAGAAAAAAAAACCCTACGAGGAGCGATTGAGGGTCCTGAATCTCTTCAGCCTCCACAAGAGCAGGCTGAGAGGTGATCTAGTGGTTGCCTACAAACTCATCGGGGGGGACAGCAGGAAATAGGGAATACAATATTTACCAGGGCGCCCATCTGGGTAACTAAAAATAATGGCCACAAACTGAGGGAGAGCACATTTAGACTGGACCTCAGGAAAAAATTCTTGACAGTGAGGGTTGCCCAGACATGGACTAGGCTTCCAAGGGCGGTGGTGCTGTCCCCTTCCTCAGAGGTGTTTAAGAGGAGACCGGACAGACACCTGGCTGGGGTCGTCTGAACCCAGCACTCTTTCCTGCCCCGGGCAGGGGGTCGGCCTCCATGATCTAATAGGTCCCTTCCGACCCTAGAAATCTATGAATCTGTGAAACTGCAGAGATACAAGTGTCCCAGGGACGGCAGAGGCTGGGACATACAGACATTAATAACAACACTCCTCAGAGCAACTTGGGTCTCATGGACCCGTCACCAGCAGTCTCCAAGGACGCCTACAGACGCACCCACAGCATGTACGGCAGGGGCCGGCAACACCTACAGTCACAGACAAGGAGGGCTGCCACTGCTCCCCCATGCCGCCCTAGGCTGGAAGGACCTTTACAGGCCGGACCTAAGCTCTCTGCGGGGGGGAGCTGACCCAGGAACGGTAGGTTGTGAAACCCTGGTTTTACGCATGTACGAGTCCAGGTGCAGTGGCTTTAAGCCCAGTTTATGGAAATGGGAGTCTCCTCCCTTGCTTGCTCTGAGGGCCTTATGGTAAGTAAAACTCGGGGGCATCCGAACCCCAAGCCTCCGGGCTTGGGCCTGCAAGTAGGATGCCCGCCAAATGTTTGGAAACATCTGAAGCCCCAGTTTAGGGTGGAGGATGTTTGCCGGTAGTAGGGCCACTTATGGTTCTGGACTCTTGGATTTGGAATTAGTTTTGGCAAATTTGGCCTTGGAAACAAACTATTTAAAAAAATATAAAAAAATGCACGAGTCCATACACAAAAGCAATCTTAACTGAATGTTAAGCACTCACAAGTCAGGACAGTCCAGAACAATCAGCACTGTCCGAGCTACAGCAAAATCCTCCGCAACCCAGCGCATGAGCCTGGGCCAGACCTGTCCAGAGTCTGTCCTGACCACTGCCATAACCCGAGGGGTCAGAGGAATGCAAGAAACCCGTAAGAGGCAGCAGGGAACCATGCCCTGTGCAGATCTCATCCTGGCCCCCGGGGAGCAGAGCGTGACCTGAGCCCTGCAGCAGGTTTCATGTTCTTTCCATCAGCCACAACAGACACCCTGAGCTAACGGGGGAACTGGCACCAGCTGGCCCGTTATCCCCAGCATTGGGGGTGAGGGCACTCCCAGTGGGTTACGGTGCTGAGGTCTCTCCTGGGTCCTAGAAAGGTACAGGCCTCTCCAACCCTCTCCACCCTGCTTGTCTCTGCCTCATCCGGACATACACAGCCCAGTAGCAGCTGAAGGATGCTGAAAACATGGGAAGGAAGCAGAGAAGTAGTTCTAGGCTTGGAAAAAGCAATCGACAGAGGAAGAGTGAGAGCTCCATCTGCTTGGCTTTATGAAAAGGCAATGAGAGGGCACTTGGTGTGTACAGTGCACAAGCCTCTCCCTGGGGAGAATGTCTTGGAGGCTAAAAGGGCTCCTGAATCCAGCAGAACAGGAGCCAGAGGAAGGAAGACGAAGCCAGACAAGCCTGTACAAGTAAGGCCCAAGTGCTTAACAGCGAAGGGTGCTGGCCATCAGAACAAGCGGCTGATGGAAGCAGCAGTTCAAGGCTGCCTGGGTTGGGGTGACAAAGGAAACCAGCAGGTAGTAAGTTCAAAACAAACACCAGGGAGTTGTTTTTCTGGCTCTTAGTCAGAACTTCCTGGACCTTCAATGGTGCATGCTGCAAGGGAAAACCCTGCTCAGACCCGGTCACTCTCCCTTTCAGCCTCTGCTCTGTCGTCCACCGTGTGACACCGAGCGAGACAGAACCAGGGTCTGACCAAGTGAACGGCAGCTCTTACGGCTCCATCTCAGCCCTTCCTGAATTCCAAGTTTAGTAAACCTCAAACAGCTGGAAAACAGGAAATTAAGACTTAAGATGCTCGCCCACGCACCCTTAACCCTGCCCTCCGGAGCCGGCACTGACACTGAGTGACCTGCACGCACTCCGGCTCCATCCAGATACCTGAGAGCTGCGGGGGCCAAGCTCCTCTGGGGAAAGCATGCCCTTCTCCTGGACCCTGCCTGGGAGATGACCGGGGAGAGGCACAGTGCAGCCAGGGAGTTGGGCCGCACGTGGGCTCTCACAGCAGGGTACAGCGGGGTCTTTGCTATGCAGCCTGTCAGCACGGAGGTGAGGGGAGAGCTTGAGCTGTGCAGGGGTGTTTGTGCTTGGGGAGAAGGGGCTGTAAAGGGCACCAGCCCTGGGGATGCCCCAGGGCAGTGGGCTGTGCGACTGCAGGGCAGGTGCTGACAGCCCCATGCAGGACACGGCAGGTGTTACAAGGGCGCAGGGTATTGCCCAGACAGATCCACTCCACCTTAGCTACAGACTCAGCCATTTCTGTACGTAAACCTATAGCAGAGATGTAGAATCTCTGCCCTCCAGAGCCGGCAGGGGAGGAAGGAAAACCCGGGAAACTATAGGCCCGTTAGTCTTACCTCGGTCCTGGGGAAACTCTTTGAGAAGATTATCCAGGAGCACATCTGCGAGGGGCAGCAGGGGACTATACGCTTAGGGGCAACCAACACGGGTTCATTAGGGGCAGGTCCTGTCAGACCAACCTGGTGCCTTCTACGACCAGGCCAAAAAATCCTTGGATGCAGGTGTCGCGGTGGACGTAGTCTTTCTGGACTTTAGGAAGGCCTTCGACACTATCTCTCACCCCATTCTCATTAAAAAATTAGGTGACTGTGGTGTTGATGCCTACATGGTCAGATGGGTCACTAGTTGGCTGGAGGGCCGCACCCAGAGAGTGGTGGTGGACGGGTCATTTTCAACCTGGAGGGATGTGGGCAGTGGGGTCCCCCAGGGCTCGGTCCTCGGGCCCGTGCTGTTCAATATCTTCATCAGCGACTTGGATGAGGGCGTAAAAAGCACCTTGTTCAAATTCACAGATGACACTAAGATGTGGGGAGAAGTGGGCACGCTAGAAGAGAGGGACAGGCTACAACTAGATCTGGACAGGTTACAGGGGTGGGCGGATGAGAACAGGATGGGGTTCAACACTGACAAGTGCAAGATGCTGCACCTGGGGGGGAGACCCAGCAGCACACCTACAGGCTGGGGAACTCCCTTCTCATCAGCACAGAGGCAGAAAAGGATCTTGGAGTCATTATTGATTCATAGATTCATAGATGTTAGGGTCGGAAGGGACCTCAATAGATCATCGAGTCCGACCCCTGCATAGGCAGGAAAGAGGGCTGGGTTCAGATGACCCCAGCCAGATGCCTATCTAACCTCCTCTTGAAGACCCCCAGGGTAGGGGAGAGCACCACCTCCCTTGGGAGCCCGTTCCAGACCTTGGCCACTCGAACTGTGAAGAAGTTCCTCCTAATGTCCAGTCTAAATCTGCTCTCTGCTAGCTTGTGGCCATTATTTCTTGTAACCCCCTGGGGGCGCCTTGGTGAATAAAACCTCACCAATTCCCTTCGTGGCCCCCGTGATGAACTTATAGGCAGCCACAAAGATTCCAAGATGAACATGGGCCGACAGTGTGGGGACGCGGTCAGGAAGGCCAACCGCACCTTGTCGTGCATCCACAGGTGCATCTCGAGCAGGTCCAAGGAGGTGATCCTCCCCCTCTATGCGGCACTGGTCAGGCCCCAGTTGGAGTGCTGTGTCCAGTTCTGGGTGCCGCACTTCAGGAGGGATGTGG